ACAATTATCCTCAGCAAAAGCTATTAATGTCTAGTACAAATCATCTGGTCTTTCATTAGACTCAAGTTTAATACCAGCAAAGTCTTTTTGCTGGCGTACTATTTACATGCTGACCTTTTGTTGGCATGTGCGCCGTTGAACATCGGCACCGTCATTGGTAAAACCTCTGAATGGTGAAGACCTTGTCTTCTTTTCCCAGTGTGCACCGTCAACTAAAAAGGGAGCGAACTCAGTGTCCAAAGATAATGTGTAGACAAGGTTCTGACGCCAGTTCTCAAATGAATTCACAGTCTCAACGTTGCCACCATTGCTTTGGTGCTCTGTGTGTATTCGCCATGGCTCACATCTCGAGTTTCATCAGCTGAGATAATCCAAAATGCAGCCCGGTTATGCACGATTATAGCATGAATAGATCTCACATGAGCTCTTTGGACTGTTTGAGGAGTAGATACGATAACGCTGCCACCACACCAGTGTGTAGGTGAGGTACAATGAATCGCTGACACAAGAGAATAGTTTAATCAAGCCTTTTTAATGGCGATGGCAGAAGACAACAACACGTAGCCCACGGGTCAGCGGGATCACGTTCAACATCAGGAACAACATCACGATCCACGTCACACCCCATATACTGGCGGTATATATGTATGTACTGTATGTATGTACAGTATGTATATACACATTTACATTCACACACACACATAAGGTCCGGTCGAACGATTTATCAATTAAATGAATTAAATTCTGATTAGATTCTGTTGGTAGGCATTAATCTAAAGTGCATGGAAATGACAGAATATTTACGTACATATTTACAACTGGTCTATTCGCACGGGATTAGCATTCATTTTTCCAGACCTTTTTACAGAAGGTGAAAGTCAGTGTAATCTCTACTGACATTGTTTGTAATGGTTACTGAGATGGCACATTCGGACGGGACTAAAATCACCGAGAAGCACTGGTAATAATCACTTTACCCCACCTCTCCATGTAAAAGTAATCCCGTCTGAATAGGGCAACAGACAGACAGACAGACAGACAGATAGATAGATAGATAGATAGATAGATAGAAAACTACCTAGTAGATGATAGATAGATGATAGATAGATCGATCTTGACTGACAGAAAAATATGTATAGACAGATATAGAAATGGACAGACAAAAAATAGATATATTGACACAGAAAAATAGATAGATCGACACCTGTCTGTGCGCTGAGGGTGGTGAAGTGACACTGTTCCCTGTCACCTCTGTCTGTGTAATGATAGCTGTCCTGTTTCATGTTGTAATCAGTGCAGCACAAAATGCAGCTTGCTGTAGGTGACCCAGTGGGAGTTAACAAAGAGAACAGCACCATGAATGCTGCCAGGACTCGCAATCAGAATGTAAAACAATCCGGGTGCCATCCTTCATGAAGGCAAGGGGTGGCCGGAACGTGGAGATAATCTGCTCATGAAGCGTGTAATTATATCAGCAGCCTGCCTGTCTGCACTCCTGCAATTACTACCATTGACAAAAACAATCATTTAGAGAAAAAGCGGAAAGACACTCACCTGTGAGTGAAGGATTTTCTTTCGCGACCTTTTTCTACCTCTAAGTCCTGTATCCTGTGTTCCTGTGTCCCCTACCTCCAACAGACTTGGAGAGAACACTCTCTCATCATATATGATCTACTGCAGGGTTCCTCAAATCTTGCCCTGGAGGGCCAATGCACTGCAGAGTTTAGCGCCAACCCTGATCAAACTCACCTACCTGTGATTTTCTAATGATCCTGAAGGCATTGATTAGCATTTGATTAGGGTTAGAGCTAAACTCTGCAGGAAAGTGGATCTCGTGGGCCAGATTTGAGGATCCCTGATCTACTGCCTGAAGTAAAGAGCAGACATACATACATACTGTATGTAAATAACCATAAACTTCAGCAACAAATTAAATAAAATAGCTAAATATTCATAGAGACTGTTTACTGGAAAAGCCATTATTTCAAGACTCAGATACAGCAGAGTACAGAGCAGGTCTTGTAAAAAAAAAAAAAAAAGCAGTTAAATACATTTTTAATTCAATGAAAGTTTTTAATTAAACTAATTTAATTTAATTTAATTTAAATTTATTTTAAATTAAATTAAATTAAATTATTTCACTTGTGGACTTCAAACATTTTTAAACTAATTTGTTTAAAAATATGTTTGAATAATTGTTACTAATTTGTACTAAAATGTCCAACATTGGGTATACATGCATCACAGGAGAACTGCAATTTTTTTTTAATAACAAATTTTAAGCACAATGTAATTTCCACTGCTTATATATTTTATTAGTATTTTTTATTGATTGTTTTCTTACTGCTTTTTATTGTGTAACATGTAACAGAATATATAACATTTTTAGTGGAAATTATAGTGATCATTTTTTGGAAATATAATATTTTAAAATCATTGAATGAAAGTAATTAATATAATTTTATGCGTCCTAAATACAAATAAAGTTTACACTTTTTTGTACAATTTTACAAAATGAAAACATGATAGAAGTGATGCACAATCCAAATATTATATTTGAAAGTGACATTTACCTTGATTTTTCTTTATTTTCTTGTCACTTATCACACTTATCTCATATTTCATCTCAAGCATTTCACTATCACTGTTGTCTCCTTGGTAAAAGTTCACTCTACTTTTATAACTTTACTAGTGGAAAAAAACTGTTTATTCAGATGGAAAATATGGCACAACTGAGGAACAGGCGTCATTTGTGAAAAAAACTGACATTAAAATAGCTTATTATTTGGAAATCTGTATGTAAAACACATTAGAAAAGTAGCAAAATAAATGATATCATGCTTCATTTTCACACAAATTATGTATAAATCATCTCTTTACATAAACTGTAGTATGGATGAGAATTACTCGATTCTCATTCCTCCACCCTTTTGTGTTCAAGACGTGACATTTTCTTTTCCACAATGAAACTACTATGGCTTTTTCACTCTAGAGTTTAGCGTAAAAGTGTGTTTAGACTGGCTTACAATGGAGCTCACTGAAAAACAAGCTACCATGACAAATTTTACTGTGTTGTTTTACGGCTGTTATGTGTTGCAGGAGCGAAATCCACTGTAAATAATACCATGGTGTGCAGTAATACAGGGATCACCTTACCATGTGTAAGGCAGATTTTATGATCTATTGTTTGATATTTAATGCCCACCCACCTCATAGCAGGACATTGGAATCTGGAGGGTCTGCACTTGCAGAACAACAATATTAAACAAAAGAGCTGTCATATTTAACACTGTTTCACTTTACATTTGGGATGCAAGTGAAAATTATTTGTTATGTATTTTAATCTTTATGGATAACAGCTAAATTTAATTGTTGTCACGCTGACACACATCACATGGACTTTGTTTTCAGTTTGCACCATCTTCTCTTAGTTAGTTTGTTGTCATGGTTAATTTGTGTAATTTCTGTTCAGCTGCACACACCTCATTATCTTCAGTATTTCAGTTCATGCCTTTCACCCCTTAGTTGTCGGGTATTGTTTGTGGCTATGCTTTGGTTGTGGATGCTGTTCTCTCTGTTTGGATCATATTGTGGATTTATTAAAGCCTGTTTGGAATTATCATTTTCATCATCATGCTTGTTTGATACAATCTTAGTATTGCGACATTTGTCTACTATATGGAAAAATATTTCACCCTCACACGAAATTCCTAATAGTGTGAGTTCCTGTTGAAATGGCTGGATTTCATCCATGAACAGACGCACATATGCTTTATTTTTGCAATCATTTACAGTGAATGATTTTAAAGATTGTCAAGTGTTTAGTTCGAGTTTGGAATATAAGACTGATATGACTGAACGTGTGATTGGGAATCAGAGAACTGCTTTAACAACTGAGAATAAATTGCTTCATTCTTAAATAAATAAACACAAGCTCTTGATGTTGTTAATTGTAAGCACTTTCTACAGGGTAAATGAGCAGATCCAATAAATGGATAAATTCTATAATGTTCAAGCCCATTTACATTAAGTAACAAAAAAGCAACGCATATAAAAAAAGCTGTAATGAGTTTGAGTGTAATGAGTGTTTTGCCTAGTATTATGTGAATATAAAAGAAAGTGGTTGCAGTAAATGCTTGTTTTTGTGCTGAACTGGCATCTGCAGAAAAACATTAAAAGAAATTGGTTTAGGGTCAGTAAGGTTTTTTTTAAAGTGTTTGAAAGAAGTTTCACCAAAGCTACATTTATTTATGACATATGAGTCCATAATACATAAAAATGCTTCCTCAAGTGAAAATGCACATATGCACAGACTCAGACAAAATTACTTTTTCACTGGAGAAAGCGATATTGTGGATAGAGTACTCATATTTTAGCCAGAAGCATTAGTTAAAATCACCTTAATGATGAATTTTTCTTATAAACACAGCTTTTCACTTCACAAGACATTAATTGATAGACAAGAGTTGTGCTGTGGATTATTGTGATGTTTTTATTAGCTGTTTGGACTCTCATTCTGACGGCACCCATTTGATGAAGAGGATTTGTTGGTGAGCACGTGATGTAATGCTAAATTTCAAAAATCCAAATCTGTTCCGATGGAGAAACAAACTTCTCACGAACTCTAGCCGGAGTTCCTGTGAGCTTCTCAAGAGGGCACTCCATTACAGACTCTTGCCTCTTTTCCCCGGACTACATTCCCCATAATCCTTTGCCTGGACTCATTATCTCTGATTGCATTCACATGTGTCTTGTTATCTCATCTGTCTCACCCTATTTAAAGCCTGGTTTGTTACTTCCACATTGCTGATTAGTGTATAGCCTGTTTCGTCTGTGTTCTCCGTGTTCCTTGCCTTGCCTTGCCTTGCCTGTTTTTGACCTTGGACTGTTTCCTTGTTTTTTGATCATATGCCCCCTGCCCTAACCATTGCCTGTTTATTGGATTACTCTTTTGTCTGCCCTGGATTATACCTGTTTGCTGATACTTAAACCTGCCTGTTTTGACCACTCTCTTGTAAATAAAGCTGCATTTGGATCCTCAACTCCGTCGTCACGACTCCTTACGTTACAAAACTCATCTACATCTTGGATGGCCTGAGGGTGAGTACATTTTCAGCAAATATTTATTTTGGGGTGAACTATTCCTATTTCCTTTGTGGAAACCATGATACATTTTTTTAGTAAATAGAAATTATAGAATAGAAAGAACAGCATTTTTTTAAATATAAATATTTTGTAACATTGTACTGTAAGTGTCTTTACTGTCACTTTAGATCAGTTTGACACGTTTTTAATCAAATAATTAATTTCCTTCAAAAAAATCTTACTGATCACAGACTTTAAAATGGTAGTGTACATGTTACGACTTGACAGAGTAAAGCAAACAATCCAGAACACTTCTGATATCAGATTTCAAAGCAAGAAAAGAGTGAAACAAAATAAATGTGCCTGATTGCTGTTCAGTGTGCTCAGCTTCTCTGCTTATATGACCTGTGTCCGCTGATCTTATCTGCGTGATACTTGATGCACTCAATAAGTGATATGTCAAGGACCAGTGAGAAATCGTGCCATAAGACTGTAATGGCCCTGAGGGGGTGTAAATTTCAGCATGATGAAAAGAGTCTGGGCTTATCGTGAGCTGCTGAGGTTGTAGTTAGAATCTCTTTGTAGAAATTGAATGATTTGAGAAGAAGGGCAGTAGGGGTGACAAACCCCTCCCTTTAATCAGCAATTATCCATATTCCTCCTGGAGGGGTCAAAGGTGACATATTCACCCATCCAAGGCCCAGCCAACACAGGCCTTGAGCACACAAGCTCCAAAATACCATCCACTTGTCCAGGGCCCATAAAGTTGGTCTGTTCAAACAGAATTGTTTGCAGATTTGAGCCAGTTCCAGTAGTTCTCGCCACCCACAGAGCTCTCACAATAAGCAGAAGGTGTTGGGAGCCACAGGGCAGGAGGAAGTGATGTAACCTGATCTACTGTTCGCCAGCATGCAGGCAGATTGATTTCAGCCTGCAGATGGACAAAGTGCTCAATCAATGAAAGGCCTTCCATCCAGCTGGCCGCCGCTTACCCCTCACCCCCAACAAGGACACTCTTCCTGGGGGCCATACGCCCCCTGCCTTTGCCTTAACACTGCTTGGAGGAGGGACACACACACACACAAACATGCAAACTTATTAGCATAGCCATAGGCTTTCCATCTATTGGCAACAGAACCAGCCTTATCTTCTGGTTCAGCCAAAGTTCTGCTTAACTTATTTCAGTCCTGTTGTGAACTTCGTAACCCTGATGGAATGAAAGTGATCTCAATATTGCTCAAAATGCTGCTCTGAAGGTGAATCTCGGTAGAAAAGAGTACCCTGTTGCAAGGACCCCAAAATAGGAACCCCTTTTTTAAATACGAATGCAGCTATATATTGTGTGTGTGTGTGTGTGGGTGTGTGTTCACGGTGTGTGTGTGTTCACTGCTGTGTGTGTGCACTTTGGATGGGTAAATGCAGAGCACTAATTCCGAGTATGGGTCACCATACTTGGCCACATGTCACGTCACTTTTTTTTTCTTTTCTAACATATTTCTTGTTCAGCAAATTTTCATTTAATAATTTCATTTATAACCATTTTTTTATATATAAAGTAGTTTTTTATATATACAGTAGTCTCATGGGACATTTAATTTGTTAAGTGAAATACGGTCTTTGTTTGTGAAGAAACAATCATCATACAAAGTGTAAATATCCAAATTATAGTTTTAAATGGTTGAACATACTGTAGGCCTCAACACTCGACACACAAACATGACAATCAACAAATGCATAAAGATGAGCTCTTTACACAACACAACAAATAACTAACAATAATGACAAAACAAAAGTTTAAATGAAGACAGCCAACAGCAAAACAATAATCCTATAACAGAAACTGCATAATTTAGTAAATCTGCAGTGTATGCTGGGAACTCACAAACCCTTAACATTTCAGCAATATGAAATTCCAAAACCGTTTGACTAGTTTGGACAACATTTCTGGAAATTCTGTTGGTCTGAGATGGGTTTTTATGTAGCTTCAAGAAAATTGCATTTCTTAGTATTTGAGGCTCAAAAGGTTTTGTAAACGGAATTTCTTTTTTTTGCAATACCATGTCCCATCTCCCAAATAGAGAGAAATTAAAGGCAGAAGACAGGATGATGACAGTAAGTGACAGTTGCAGATTTACCTGTCCCTCTCTAGTCAGCCAGAACTGATGAGCAAATCTAATCAGGGACAGTGAAATGGGCCACTGTGGTGAACTGATTCATGCTGGAGAGAGCCTGGATATTTACAGTCATATTTAGATGCACCTTTGCCCCTGCAACCCATTAAATCATAGTCTGTGACTCATAGCTTTGGAGTGATTTTAGGTTTATCTTGCACTCAGAATAGATAAACACAGAAGAATCATCGAGCATCAGCATCAAGGTAGAAGTTTTGAAGATAGGAGTATCACACCACTGTCATACGTGCTAATAATAATGCTCATAATGGATATCAACACCATACAGTGCTGTTTTCCACCAAGGTTTCTGACATCTGCCATATTTAGACTAGCAATCATCAATCAGCGATGTAGCATACTTGATAAGTGCTGAGAGTATGATGAAGATTTGCCTTTGAACTGCTCCATGAATAAAATACAGAAACATTAAAGCCCCAAAAGGGATAACTTCATTATGCCAAACACACATTTTTTGGCAGTTCTGTTTTACGAGCTTCAAGCCACTTTCTCTGAAATAAAGCTGCAATCCACCAAAAACTACATCATTTATTACCCTTAATAATGGCCATACATCCCCGAGCCTATTGGAAACATTAACGTCAACTGTAATCTCAGCACTCCTTCCCCCTATGTATAGCAATCTTCCACACATTATTTTTCGTTCTTTCCCTGCACTTCTTCTGAAAAACTAAAATACAGATAAATGATGTGTAGTAAAGCTTGCAGCGCGATTACCCGAAGGACTTGGTTGAGCTCCAGAGACAATTCTGATGAATTAGAGTGCAGTGAGAAAGACTGGATGGAGGGAGAGGAGCTGGAGCTAGAACTACACAGATATTCCTCTCAAGTGTTGATAATTCTGCATTTTCTGAAATTAAAATAAAAATGGTTTAGTTGCATTTTAATCCCTATGGGTTGTGATCTATATATTGATATGTGATCGGACGCTCTGTTTGTGGACTCTGGGCTCTGCCTCGGGAGCGTTTGGAGGAGCTTTAGGTATGTGCTCAAGGAGGTGCCAAGGCTGCCAGTCGGGCCAGTGCATTCACTCAGACCCATCAGGTCTGCGCCAGCAGCATTTGGCAAGAACTCATAGTCTGCTTACGAGTCCAAACTGAACCCTTCTTTCTGCCTTAGATAACTGATTCAGGCCTAGACTCTCTGGGTGCTGCACTATGAACTGTTTCTAAAAGGGATTTTAGATTTTAGCTTGCAGATCTCTCATGTATGTTTCAATTGTCCTCTTATTCAAGGAGTAAATCTTCAATTCAACCCATTTACTCAAGTTATTGTAATTTGCTAATTGGCTGTTTATTAGTACATATAAAGCACTTATTCTGCATGACCATATTCTACATCTATCTATCTTAACTTGAAATCAGGGCTAAATGGAAGTTGTATTCCTGGAATAACTATTACTATATAAAATATGTATTTAAATACATTTCTGTCATGACAACTCGGAGGGATTGGCATGGTAATGTACATGACGATGTTAATGTATTTGGTCTTGGCGGAATAGATCTGCTATGCTGCTGCTGCTGCGGCAGAGCAAGTACCGAGACTTGCTACTGCCAATACATCCACAACATGCTGCTGTAAGCATGTAAGAAATATTGCTGCTGCACATATAACATGCATGAAATAACCCCCATATAGCGTACATGACATAGCGTACAGGAGGAGCTGGGGAAGTGAGGGTTTCTGAAGCAAGCTGCAACTGCTACTGCAAGCACTAATCATATATTTGAATGTTGAGCAGCGAGCTCATTGGCTACCGATACAGGAGAGAACCAATCAGCTGTGCCATGTGATAATGATGTCATTAGGTCAGATTGAGTTAGACCTAACGGACTGCGCCATCTAGAGTTTCATGCCAGAACTCTGTATTTTAATATAATATTGGTAAATACTATATAAAATATCATCTTTAATTTACAGCACTGTTCAAAAGTTTGGGGTTTGTAAGATTTTTTTTAATGTTTTTGAAAGAAATCTCTTATGCTCACCAAGGCTGCATTTATTTGATCAAAAATACGGTAAAAACAGTAATATTGTGAAATATTATTACAATTTAAAACAACTGCTTTCTATTTGAATTTTACAATTTAATTTATTCCTGTGATGACAAAGCTGAACATTTTCTAATGCTGATTTTGCTGATATGTTTATTTAAATAAATAAACTTATTTTGAATAGTGCATGTGAATTGTATTAATAATAATACATTTAAATGCATAAATAATCACACAAATAATGGTTTAAACACTATTGTTTACCAAATGTTGGTAACAGGGTTGCAAAGAAAGGCAGACCTCATAACAATAAATGTAAAATAAAACTGATAATCTCCTGAGGCTGACATTTTATGAAGGTTAAGAACCTAATTTCAACTCTTGTCTCCAAATCAAAAATGCAGCGAGAGAGGTTTAGCATGCTTGAAACTGATTTGAGTTTAAGCATTGTGAGCTCAACTGTACAGACGCCCCTCAGGGTCAGCGAGGCTGGAGTGTGAACGTTGCATGTTACTCATTCATTACCAAGCGGAAAGTCTGAGCGCCTTAATATGAGCTGACAATATTGTATATAATATATTAATATATACTGAGTCATAGTGTGTGTGAGAGTGTGAGTGTGAGTGTGTGCATGTTCACTATAGTCCACTTAGAGAGCAGGTCAGAACTTGATCACCCTTTAATCCTATAAGCATTATAATGTCCTATAAGAATGGAGGTAAAGACGCATGATTGCTAGTGCCATCTGAGACCAAGAAGGTCCATAATACCTGTCCATTTGCATTCTGATTGGTCAGCGCTGGAGAAAGATGCTTTGTGTCCTCAT